CTCCCCCATTTCTGAAGAAGGTTCTCGGCCCGAAATGTCAGCCTTCCAGCTCCTCTGACGCTGCTTGGCCTGCTGTGTTCATCCAGCTCTACACCTTGTTATATCAGTGATCAGGAACAGCAGCGTTACAAGCGAGGCAGGTAGGGGGATCCTGAATTCAGGAACAGAGGAGCCTCAGGCATGAGATATTTGCTGCATGTGAGGATGAGGAAAAGGGCTATAGGGAGGATGAGCCAGCTGACCACTGCACTGTGGTGCAGGAGGCCGTTCAAGAGGTGGGAGCAAAAAGACAAGTGGTAGATGTAGGGGACTCTATAGTTGGAGGGATTGATAGCATCTTTTGCAAGCAAGATTGAGAGTCCTGCATGGTGCCAGGGTGAGAGACATCTCTGACCAACTTGAAAGGATTTTGGAGTAGGAGGGCGAGGATCCAGTTGTTGCGGTCCACATTGGGACAAACATAGGCAAGGCTAGGAAGGAGGACCTGTTTGGGATTATCAAGCATTAAGAATGAAATTAAGGAAGAGGTCCTCAAAGGTTACAATCTCCAGATTATTACCCAAGCCATGTGCAAATCGGCATAAGGTTAAGAAACTTAGGGAAGTAAACATTGACTAAAGGAGTGGTATGGAAAAAACATAGAACATAGAACAGTACAGCACAGCACAGTACAAGCCCTTCGGCCCACGATGTTGTGCCGAACTTTTACCCTAAACTTAAGGTCTATCTAACCTTCACCTCTACCTTATTCTATCATCCATATGCCTATCTAAAAGCCGCTTAAATGCCCCTAATGAAGTCGACTCCACTACCCTCTCCGGCAATGCATTCCACGCCCTGACCACTCTCCGAGTAAAGCAACTCAGAAAGAGGGGATCCATTTCATGAGGCACTGGCATCAGTTTTGGAACAGGAGGGATCTGTACCATTGGGACGGTCTCCACCTGAACTAATCTGGAATCAGTGTTCTAGCTAAAAGGATGAATAGAATGCTCACTAGGATTTTAAACTAGTGAAATGAGAGGAAGGGAAGGGGAAAACGACAGGAAATATGGTAAATAGAAAAGGAAACAGCAGGTTAACACTTATGTGGAGGGTTTAACTGCATTGAGGACTATGAAGGGAGTTAAGTGGAAGGAGCATTCAGAAGATATTATTAATGGAGATGTTAGAATTCAAAAAGAACGTATAAAAACCAATATTAAGGCACTTTACCTAAATGCTCATAGCATTTGAAACAAGGTAGATGAGTTAACGGCGCAAATCATTGCGAATGAGTATGATTTAGTAGCCATTACAGAGATATGGTTGCAGGATGGTCACAACTGGGAATTAAATATCCAGGGGTGTCAGACTATTTGGAAGGACAGGCAGGAAGGTAAGGGAGGTGGTGTTGCTCTGATATTTAAGGACAACATCAGGGCAGTAGTGAGAGATGATATAGGTTCTAAGGAGAATAAGGTGGAATCCATTTGGGTGGAAATTAGAAATTCTAAGAAGAAAATGTCACTGATAGGCATAGACTATAGGTCACAAAATAATAACATCATATTGCATGGGCAATAAAGAAATAACTAATGCCTGTACAAATGGTGTGGCAATTATGGGGGATTTTAATCTACATGTCGATTGGCTGAACCAGGTCAGTTAAGGCAGCCTTGAGGAGGAGTTCATTGAATGCATACACGATGGCTTTCTTGAACAGCATGTAATGGAACTGGGGAGGAAGCTATCCTAGATCCGGTCCTGTGTAATGAGATAGGGATAATTGGTGATCTCATAGTTTGGGATCCTGTTGGAAGGAGTGATCATGGTATGGTTGAATTGAGCATACAGATGGAAAGTGAGAAGATAAAATCCAGTACTAGGGTCCTGTGCTTAACCAAAGGAGACTACTGTGGGATGAGGGAGGAGTTAGCTAAAGTAAACTTGAAGCAAGCACTGTATGGTGGGACAGTTGAGGAACAGTGGCGGACTATCAACGCAGTTTTTCAAAGTGCTCAGCAAAAGGATATACCAGTGAAAGGGAAGGACTGTAGGAAAAGGGGTAATCAGCCATGGATGTCTAAGGAAATAAGGGACGCTATCAAATGGAAAGATAAGGCATACAAAGTGACAAAGACTAGTGGGAAACTAGAAGATTTGGAAAATGTTAAAGGTCAACAGAGCCACAAAAAAAGGCTACAAAGAAAAGTAAGATGGAATATGAGACTAAACTAGCTCAGAATATAAAGACAGATGGCAAAAGTTTCTGTAAATATATAGAATGAAAAAGAGTGGCTAAGGTAAACATTGGACCCTAAGAGGACAACAAGGGGGATTTAATAACGGGAAATGAGGAAATAACTGAGGCATTGAATAGGCATTGTGTGTCGGTCTTCGTTGTGGAGGACACAAATAACTTGCCAATAATTGATGGCAAAGAGACGAAGGTAGGTGAGGACCTAGACACAATGATTATCATGAAGGAGGTAGTGTTGGGCAAGTTAATGGAGCTGAAGGTAGACCAGTCTCCTGGCCCTGATGGATTGCATCCCAGGGTACTAAAAGAGATGGTGGGAGTAATAGCAAATGCACTCATAGTAATTTTTCAAAATTCCCTGGGGCAGTTCCAGCAGATTGGAAAACAGCCAATGTGACGTCACTGTTCAAAAAAGGAGTTGGACAAAAGATGGGGAGTTATAGGCTGGTTAGCTTAACTTCTGTGGTGGGGAAAATACTTGAATCTATCATCAAGGAAGAAATAGCAAGACATCTAGATAGAAATTGCCACACTGGGAGGATGCAGCATGTGTTTATGAAAGGCAGGTCATGCTTGACTAATTTGCTGGAATTCTATGAAGACATTCCAAGCACGGTAGACAATGGGAACCCAGTAGATGTGGTGTTACTGGATTTCCGAAAGGCATTCGACAAGGTGCTGCACAAGAGGCTGCTGCATAAGATGAAGGTGCACTGCGTTACAGGCAATGTATTAGCATGGATCAAGGATTAACTAAACAGGAAGCAAAGAGTGGGGATAAATGAATGCTTTTCTGGTTGGTGAACAGTGATTAGTGGTGTGCCTCAGGGATCAGTGTTAGGACCGCAATTATTTACAATTTACACATGATTTGGAGTTGGGGACCATGTGTAGTGTGTTAAAGTTTGCGGATGACACGAAGATGAGTGGTAAAGCAAAGTGTGCAGAGGACTGTGCAAACTTTCAAAGGGATATAGATAGTTTAAGTGAGTGGGCGAAGGTCTGGCAGATGGAATTCAATTTTGATAAATCTGATGCCTTCCATTTTGGTAGGAATGACAGTTAAAGGGACTGTTACTTGAACGGTAAAAGATTTCAGCATGCTGCAGTGCAGAGGGACCTGGGTGTCCTTGTGCATCAATCACAGAAGGTTGGTTTGCAGATACAAGAGGTAATTTCTTTATTCTTTATTCATTCACGGGATGAGGGTGTCACTGGCTAGGCAGCATTTATTGCCCATCCCTAATTGCCCAAAGGGCAGTTCAGAGTCAACCACATTGCTGTGGGACTGGAGTCCCATCTAGGCCAGACCAGGTAAGGATGGCAGTTTCCTTCCCTAAAGGCCATTAGTAACCAGATGGGTTTTTCCCGACAATCAACAATGGATTCACAGTCATCATTAGACTCTTAATTCCAGATATTTTATTGAATTCAAATTCCGCCATTTGCCATGGCAGGATTCGAACCCGGGTCTCCAGAACCTTATCTGGGTCCCTGGATTAACAGTGCAGTGAAGAAGGCAAATGGAATATTGTCCTTCATTGCTAGAGAGATGGAGTTTAAAAACAGGGAGCTGCAGCTATATAGGGTGCTGATGAGGCCACACCTGGAGTACTATGTGCAGTTTTAAAACATAGAACAGTACAGGCCCTTCGGCCCATGCAGTTGTGCCGACCTGTTATCTGACTAAGATCAATCTACCCTGCATACCCTACATTTTACTATCCTCCATGTGCCTATCCAAGAGTTGCTTAAAAGTCTCTAAAGTATCTGACTCCGCTACCACTGCCGGCAGCGCATTCCACGTGCCCACCACTCTGTGTAAAGAACCTACCTCTGACATCTCCCCTATACCTTCCTCCAATCACCTTAAAATTATGCCCCCTTGTAATAGTCATTTCCGCTCTGGGAAAAAGTCTCTGGCTCTCATCATCTTACACACCTCTATCAAGTCACCTCTTAGCCTTCTTCACTCCAATGAAAAAAGCCCTAGCTCCCTTAACCTTTCCTCATAAGACCTGCCCTCCAGTCCAGGCAGCGTCCTGGTAAATCTCCTCTGCACCCTCTCCAAAGCTTCCACATCCTTCCTATAATGAGGTGACCAGAACTGAACATAATATTCCAAGTGTGGTCTAACCGGGGTTTTATAGAGCTTCAGCATAACCTTGCAGCTCGTTAACTCAGTTCCCCTGCCAATGAAAGTCAATACACCATACGCCTTCGTTACAACCCTACCAACTTGGGTAGCAAGAATGAGGGGGAATCTAATAGAAACATATAAAATTATGAAGAGAATAGATAAGATAGAAGCAGGGAGGTTGTTTCCACAGGCGGCTGAAACTAGAACAAGAGGGCATAGCCTCAAAATTAGGGAGACCAGATTTAGGACTGAATTGAGGAGGAACATTTTCATCCAAAGGGTTGTGAATCTGTGGAATTCCCTGCCCAATGAAGAGTTGAGGCTTCCTCATTGAATGTTTTCAAAGCTAAGATAATTTTTCAAACAGTAAAGGAATTAAGTGTTGTGGTGAGAGGGTGGGTATGTGGAACTGAGGCCATGAAAAGATCAGCCACCATCTTATTGAATAGCAGAGCAGGCTCGAAGGGCCAGATGGTTTACTCCTGCTCCTGATTCTTATGTTCTTGGCTCTTAGGTTCTAAAAGGGTAACTTCACACTTGATTACATTGTACTCCATCTGCCACCATTTTGCTCTTTCATCTCACCCATCAATATCCCTTTGTAATTTTATGCTATTCATCTACAACACTACCTAACTTTGCATCATTAGCAAATTAGTGTAGGCCATGGTCTAGTAGTATTGTCAGTAGACTATTAATCCAGAGTAGACAAACAGGAAGCTGGAAGAACACAACAGGCCACATAGCACCTGGAGGAAAAGAGCAGTCAATGTTTCGAGTATTACCCTTCTTCAGGACCCAGAGACCCAGGTAATGTTCTGGGGACCAGGTTTTCAAATCCCATCATGGCAAATGGTGGAATTTTATTTCAATAATAATCTGGAAATAACCGTCTACTGGTGATCGTAAAACCATTGCCAATCGTCAGAAAAATCGATCTGGTTCACTAATGTCGTTTAGGGATGGAAATCTGTCCTCCCTACCTGGTCTGGTCGACATGTGACTCCAGAAGCATGGTTGACTTTTAAGTGCCCTCTGAGCAATAAATGCTGATCCAGCCAGTGATGCCCACATCCCATGAATGAATTAAAATAAAATAGATATACAACTTTCTGTTGCCATTATCCAAGTCATTCATAAATAATGTGAATAATTGAGTCCTTAGCACAGATCCTTGTGGGACACAACTGGTCACATACTGCCATTATCCCTACTTTCTGTTGACTGCAACTAATCAATTTCCCAGCCATGTCAGTAATTTGACCTTGATTCTGTTGGCTTTTAGTTGAGTTAAGTCCGTTATGTGTGGCTTTATCAAATTCCTTCTGGAAATCCATACAAGCAACGTCTATAGACATTCCTGTGTTCACTATCTTAGTCACCTGTTCAAACAAAAAAATGTTGAACTTGTTCGACCCAGTCAGGGCATGACCATGAAAAATAGTCAAAGTCTCTCTATTTTTTTTCCCACAGCTCTTTATCACCCTGCATAAATACTGCCACAACATTTGGAGATCTACGGAATGGCAACATCCCAGGTCAGCATCGGAAGCGCATTACATCAGTAGCACCACCATCTGATCTTCAGGAGTGGCTTAGCATATTCCAGGTAGGTACATTGAGAAGAACCAGGTTTGAGCCAGGCTGGGCTGAAAGATGCATGCACCTGTCCCCTGGTTAGCTAACAGTTATTGGTGAGGTGGCCTGTGGAAGCGGGGAGTGGGTAAGCAGAGGTGGGAGGATCTGATTTTTGTCCAGGTGCAAGTGAATTTGATGTAAGTTGGCCTTCTAAGCACTTAGTTATAGACTTGCTTTCCTATCTTAAAGCAGTAAAACAGCAATATAACGAGTATATTTAAGATGGAGACAGGTTCTTGATCGTCAAGGGGATCAAGGGCTACGGGGAGAAAGCGGGAGAATGGGATTGAGAAACTTGTCAGCCATGATTGAATGGCGGAGCAGGCTCGATGGGCTGAATGGCCTAATTTCTGCTCCTATGTCTTATGGTCTTATGGTCCATTGAATCTGTAACTGAGTTGGTTTGAAGAGTTTTAAGGGCCATGCCATATTGATTGTCACCCATAAATTAATTTGCTGTCTGTCCAGATCTGGTCCTTGAACAAGAGGGAGGTGGAAGGGGCGATTGTCTCATTGACATGTTCACACTTGGCCCGGTTGTCAGGGTTGTTTTCTCGGTTTTTCTTATGACCTCTGCTGAAGTGACGGAAGATTGTAAGCAAATTGGTTTCATGGCTTGTATCTGAGCTTTCAAATTGTCACAAACATTTACACACTTTTTCTTATTCATTGATAAGATGTGAATACTGTTGGCTAGGCCAAAATTTATGGTGCACCCCTAATTGTCCAGATGGAGTTCAGAGTCACTCACATTGTTGTGGGTCTGGAGTCTCACTGACTTTGGTTTGAACCAAAGTCAAAAAAGTGATGTATGTATATATACTGATTTTCTGATGAAGGGTCTAGGCCCGAAACGTCAGCCTTCCTGCTCCTATGATGCTGCTTGGCCTGCTGTGTTCATCTAGCTCTTCACCTTGTTATCTCAGATTTTCCAGCATCTGCAGTTCCTACTATCTATGTATATATACTCTCCAGCACCCATAAGGTTGAAGAACTTGTAAACTTTGCAGTCACAAATAAAAGTAGTGAAGCTTGGGTAAGGTTGTTTTTCCAAAAACATCTCCTCTTTTGATTTTCATTTCTTCACAAGTATGTGCATTTCATACCTAACCTTTGTGGGTATAGCATTGCTGTGCTACCTGGCCCCTCACCTTTCACCTTTCAAAATCACCTTATATCCTTACTCTATGCCTTCATCAATCTTATTTGTCACTCCTTTGAAAAACTTAATCAAGCTAGTGAGACACGATTTCCCAAACGTAAAGCCATGTTGACTATCCCTAAATCAGCCCTTGCTGTTCTAAATATATATAATCCCCGTCCCTCACGATACCCTCCAACAACTTGCTCACTACTGATGTCAGGCTCGCCAGTCGTTGGCTTTTTCTTACCACCTTTCTTTATTAGCACCAGGTTAGCCAACCTCCAGTCTTCTGACACCTCCCCTGTGGCTGTCGATGGTACAAATATCTTATCAAGGAACCCAGCAATCATTTCACTAACTTCCCACAAAGTTTGAGGATACATCTAATCAGGTCCCAGGGATTTATCCATCTTTATACGTTTTAAAACCTGACGAAGGAGCAGCACTCCAAAAGCTTGTGATTTCAAATAAACCTGATGTGTCGTGTCGTGTGATTTCTGACTTAAGACATGCATTACCATCTCTTCTGTAATATGACACTATTCAAGATATAACTGTTCGTTCCCTGAGTTCTCTAACTTCCATATCCTTCTCCACAGTAAACACTGATGCAAAATATTCATTTAGTATCTTACCCATCTCCTGCGGTTCCATGTGTAGGCAGCTTTGCTGATCTTTATGGGGCCCTGTTCTCTCCCTAGTTATTCTTCTGTCCTTAAAGTATTTATAGAATCCCTTTGGATTCTCCTTAACCCCATCTGCCAGAGCTATCTCATGTCCCCTTTCTGCCCTCCTGATTTCCCTCTTCCGTATATTGCTAGTGGCCTCACTTGATCCCTGCTGTCTGTGCCTGACATATGCTTCCTTTTTATTGACTAGAGCCTCTATTTCTCAAGTCATCCAGCATTCCCTACCAGCTTTGCCCTTAATACTAAAAGAACATACTGTCTCTGGACTCTCGTTTCCTCATTTTTGAAGGCTTCCCACTTTCCAGCTGTCCGTTTACTGGTGAATATCCACCCCCAATCAACTTTTGAAAGTTCTCTCTTTTTTTTCCTTTATTCATTCACGGGTTCAGCGCTGACCAAGCAACATTTACTGCCCATCCCTAATTGCCCAGAGGGCAGTTCGATGTCAGTTAATTGCTGTGTGCCTGGAGTCACATGTAGGCCAGACCAGGTAAGGATGGCAGTTTCCTTCCCTAAAGGACATTAGTGAACCAGATGTGGTTTTTCTGACAGTTGGCAATGGTTTCATGGTCATGATTAGATTCTTAATATTCCAGATATTTTATTGAATTCAAATTCCACTGTCTGCTGTGGTGGGTTCCTTTTTAAAGTGGGAGTTGCAGGTAGATAGGGTGGTGAAGAAGGCGTTTGGTATGCTTGCCTTTATTGGTCAGTCCAAGGAGTATCGGCGCTGGGAGATCATGTTGCAGCTGTCTGTAGAACATAGAATTGTACAGCATGGGAACAGGCCCTTTGGACCACGATGTTGTGCCAAACATGATGCCAAATTGAACTAATCCCTTCCGCCTGCCCTTGGTCCATATCCCTCCATTCCTTGCATATTCATTTGCTTACCTAAAAGTCTTTTAAACGTCTCTATCATATCTGCCTTCATCACCACTCCTGGCAGCACATTCCACACTCCAACCACACAGTGTGGAAGAAAAGCTTGCCCCTCACGTCGTCTTTGAACTTTTTCCCACTCACCTTAAAATGCATGCACCCTAGTTTTAGACGTTTCATTTCGGAGGAAAAAGATTCTGACCGTCAACCCTATCAATGCATCTCAAGTCTCCCCTCAGCCTTTACCGCTCTGGAGAAAACAACCCGAGTTTTTCTAGCCTCTCCTTATAGTTCATACAGTCTAATCCAGGCAGCATCCTGGTAAACCTCTTCTGCACCCTCTCCAAAGCCTCCACATCCTTCCTGAATTGTGGCAACCAGAACTGAATGCAGTACTGTAAATGTGGCCGAACCAAAGTCTTATAAAGCTCCAAGACATTGGTTAGGCCACTTTTAAAATACTGCGTTCGATTCTGGTCTCCCTGCTATAGGAAAGATGCTGTGAAACCTGAAAGGATTCTGAAAAGATTTACAAGGTTGTTGCCAGGTTTGGAGGGTTTGAGCTATAGAGAGAGGCTGAATAGGCTGGGGCTATTTTCCCTGGAATGTTGGAAGATGAGGTGTGACTGTATAGAGGTTTATAAAATCATGAGGGGCATGGATAGAGAGAACGGTAGAGGTCTTTTTCCTCGGGTAGGGGAGTCCAAAACTGGAGGGCATAAGTTTAAGCTGAGAGGGGAAAGATTTAAAAGGGACCTATGGGGCAACTTTTTCACGCAGAAGGTGGGGAACGGCTGGAAAATGGTAGCGAGACTTCTCAGTTCAGCCATGATCTCACTGAACAGCAGAACAAATCTGATTGGCTTGAATGCTTTTGCTCCTATACGTTGTGTAATTAGGTGAAGGTGGTGCTTGCATGGAACAAGCTGCCAGAGGAAGTGATAGAGGCTGGTACAATTACAACATTTAAAAGGCACCTAGATGGGCCCATGAACAGGAAGGGTTTACATGGATATGTGCCAAATGCTGGCAGACGGTTAATTTGGGATCTCTGGGTGGCATGGACAAGTTAGACCGAAGAGAGATAGTAGAAACTGCAGATGCTGGAGAATCCGAGACAACAAGGTGCAGGGCTGGATGAACACAGCAGGCCAAGCAGCATCATAGGAGCAGAGAGGCTGACGTTTCGGGCCT